TTGTCTTTGGATCTCAAAGTTCTAGCACACGGGAGGTTTTTGGTTCATGGGGGAGCAGTGGTTCATGTCATGCCTTGGCTTGGAGTCCTTCACTCAGCCCCCACTCCAGCCAGATTCTCTGGACTTTGAGACTTTAGCCATCTTGCAAGGAGCAACACAAAAGCCTCCTTGTCCTCTGGCAGTTACTCTGGCCTGGAGCCAGAGCTAAGCGCTTTCCACACAGTTAATCGTCAGCTGTCCAAATTGGGTATGTTCAGCCCTATTTTTATAGTCCAGGAAACAGAAGTTTAAGTTACTTCCCGTAGATCAAACAGCAGTTCAGTGATGAGGCCAAGGAATCGCACTAGGCGTAGGACCTAGGATGTTATCCATGGCCCCCGGATAGGCATAAGGCAGCTTGCTCTCTGCAGGGTCCCCCATAATGTCCTGTCACACAGCCAGTCTGGAACTTGCCACGTTGTTTGCTTCACGAGCAAAAAGCTCCTTGAGGAGTTTTTTGCATTTCCTAAAATACTCTCATATTGGTTAATGGTCAGTATAAATGTGTATTGATTGGTCTCTGGGCCCCATTTCTGTCTATTTCTAACATCCAGGAGTCTGGGCTCTAATCTCACAAGACAGGAGCCACATCCCATATCAGAGTACCTGCTCCCAGTCCCAGCTACTCAGTTTCTGATTCCTGCTAATGTGACTCTGGGAGGAACAGGTGATGGCTCTGGGGGTTGCGTCGCTGTAACCCATGTGAGCCTGCCTGGAGTGCTGGGCTCTTGGCTTCAGCCTGGCCCAGCCCTGGCTGCTGTTCTGAGCATTTGGGGAGTGAAGCAGCAGTGAATGAAGCATTCTCACTCTTGCTCCCTTCTCTGTCAAAATAATTATTTAAAATGGCAAGAAAAAACTATAAACAAAAACTGAGGGGAAAAAAAAAAAAAACAAATTAAGAAGTGGGAGTTTGAGAGTTAAGACCTAGGCTGGGAAGTCTACTTTGCTTATTGGAGTGCCTGGGTTCAAGTCCTGGTTCTGTTCCCCATTCCCGCTACCTGCTAATACATTCTCCGGGACGCAGCAGGTGCTGGCTCAAGTCCTTGGGTGAAAACCCTGCTTGGGTTTCTGGCTCCTGGTTTCCACCTGGCCCAGCCCCAGCTGTTGGGAGCATTTAGGGGGAGGGGGTTTCTAACAACAGGTGAAACTCTTTCTTTGTCTCTCTGCTTCTCAAATAGATCAATGGATTGAAAGAGAGAGGGCATGTGTGTGTGTGAGCGTGTGTGTTACATGGAGAGATTGTAATCAACCGCACAGAGAGCACGTGCCTGGTCATCTTCAGGGTCATTAACTATATCTTGGTCTTGCTTCAATGTGAATAGCTGCTTTTACTCTTGTTTTTTTTCCCCTCTAGGCATGGCTCTCTTTGCAGATTATGTTCCCATTCACTTTCTATGTCCACTTTCTGAAATTCTTCCAGCCTTTGTTCTCTACCCACCTCAGCATTGCTGATGAAATTCTGCCATCTCTGTACCATGATTCGTGTTGTTTTGGTTACTGAAAATCCACCCAATGTGCCCTCTTCTGAGAGCTCAGAACACCGACGTGGCAACAGTAATATTGCAGTATTACCAGTCTTGTCTGACCACACATACATGCATAGAGATTTTCTAGCCATGGGTAACTTTACTTTTTCAGGCATTTGCAGCTTTCAATTCATTAAAACAAACTATTGATGACACCCTAAAATTGTAATGTTAAACCAGTGAAAAACTTCTAGAATGTTCTGATCCATGAAGGGGGTCAGTGCAATAGCTCAATTTAACTAATCCTCCCCTTCAAGGGCTGACATTCCATGTGGGCGCCAGTTCGTGTCCTGGCTGCTCCACTTCCCATTCAGCTCTCTGTTTGTGATCTGGGAAAGCAGTGGAGGATGACTAAGCCTTGGACCCTGAACTCTCTGGACTTTCCAATAAAAATAAATATTTTTTTGTTTTTAAAGATTTTTAAAACTTGTATTGGAAAGTCGGATATATAGAGAGGAGAGACAGAGAGGAAGATCTTCCATCCACACAGTCACTCTCCAAGCGGATATAATGGCCAGCACTGAGCCAATCCGAAGCCAGGAGCCTGTTCTGGGTCTCCCACACAGGTGCAGAGTCCCAAGACTGGGCCATACCTGGTGTCCATATGGGATCCTGGCACTTGCAAGGCGAGGATTTCAGCAGCTAGGCTTCTGTACCAGGCCCTTACTTTCTTTTTCTTTCTTTTTTTTTTTCAATACTGACAGTAATTAGAGTTTTTGGGGGGACTTTTATTTATTTTCATTGCAAAGGCAGAGAAGATTTACAGAGTCAAGGAGAGACAAAGAGAAAGATCTTCTATCTGCTAATTGTTTAAAAGGTGGAGATACACAGAGAAGGAGAGACCTTCCATCAGTTTGTTTACTTTGTGTGGCCACAATAACCTGAGCCTGGCTGGGTGAAAAGGACCCAAGCACTGAGAACATCTCTCATGGCTTTCATAGGCACATTGGTAGGATACTGGATCAGAAGCAGCACAGCCAGGATCAGAACTGGTTCCCATGTAGGATACGATACAGGTGGCAGCTGAACCTGCTGGGCCACCACACCATTCCTGTCAGTCTTTTAGCAAAGGAGTAGTGTCATGCTCTTTCCCATTATAGCTCACATGTCCTAGCAGAGTGCTGGTTCTAGTCCCTGCTCCTCCACTTCTGACCCAGCTCCTGGCTTTACACTGGGCAGCAGTGGCTCTCATGCATGCTCCCCATCACCCGTGTGGGACCGTGTGGTGGCCTTCTGGATTCCTGGCCTTGGCCTGGTCCAGTTGCTTGTTGCAAGCATTTAAAAGGGAGTGAGCAAGCAGATGGAAGATATCTTCCTCTCTCCCTGTCACTGCCTTTGAAGTCACTGAGAATAAATAAAACTTTTTTTCCCAGCATTCATGTGGGGGAAGAAATATGCATGATTTAAAAAAGCTTTTTGCACAAAGTAAACTTGTAATTTTAATCTCCCCCTCCCCATAAGCTTTTGGAAATACCCTGCTATGTAAAAGGAGGGGCTTCTCAGGGGAACTAGCTCTTGTGGGTGTGGAGGCTGAGAAGTGCCAAGCAGGCCATCTAGGATGCCAGCATTGGCTCTGAGGAGCCAGGGTAGAACTGTACTGGGCGTTCAAGTTCTAGAGTATAGAGAGGCTTGCAGCCTGGGGCTGTCAGGACAGCAAGAAAAAATTCCATCCCAGCTCTGAGACCCATCCCCCTCCTGGAATCCTTCTTTCTGCCCTCTTCCCCGCCCCCCCAGCAGTCTGTCCGCTCCAATTGTGACCTTCCCCACCTCCCCCACTCACTTCCTGTGCGGCCACTCTCCCCAGCACCCCACCTACCTCCTGCTCTACCAGGGATGTTGGTTCAGCTTCACTTGAGGAACCACCCTTACAATCCTCGATCCCCCCCAAAATTCAGTTTTTGGCTTTCTTCTTCTTAGAGAAGTTTTTTTATTTTTTGGTCTCAGAGCAAATGGTGGTTTTGGACTTGTAGTCCTGAGGATTTTGGTATTGGAGAATTTAATCTTCCAGGACTGTGATTTGGGAAATGGAAGGAGGAGGTGAGATTTCAAACTGATGTTTGAGGATCTCGATGGCAGCATTTGGGGCTGTGTCTTCGAGCATTAAGGATCGGCGAGGAACATTGGTGCAAACCCAGCCGCACAGAACCGTGCGACTCATTCCACAAATAGCCTCTTCCTGCTCTCCCACACTCTCTCCAGTCCCTTCTGGTAACTCTTTCATGCCCTTGCAGCTCTTTTTATTTTTCTTGCCCCTTTAAACCTGTAGCAATCCTCCCGAGGAGAGGATGGGGTGTGGGACACTCTGGCAAACCTTGCCTGGGTTTCAGCTTTACGGTCCAAACTCTTGGCTTAGCAGCCAGGTGCTAACAAATGCAAATGAAGATCCAAGTCCAGCTCCCCTCCTCCTCCCCCGACCAAAAAAAAAAAAAAGCCCAGCCTGCCTGCCTGCCTGCCTGCCGAGGGTTCCAGCTGCTGCCAGTCAAAAGCTCCTGGGGCCCCCGGGGAATCTGCAGCCCCAGCCAGAGCCACAGATGGGAAGCAGGGTTGGTTTCCGCAGCCTGTGCGCTCGCGCGGCCTCTCCGCCGGGCTGCACACCCGTCCCTGGTGTCTCTTTGCCTTTGTAGGCTCTGTCCCTTTGTCGCTGCCTGCTGCTGCCTTTTGTCGTTTCCCCCTCCTCCCCACCACCACCACCACCCTACTCTGAACCTGTTTCTCGCTGGGAACTCTGGCTTCTCCTCCCTCCCCCCAGGGCTCCTCCAACTGTGGCTTCTTCCTGCACTTGGTGGAGATGTAGGGCTTTTATCTGCGTCTGCATCTCTTTGTCTCTGGTTACTCGTCTTTCCCTGCTGTGTGTTCTGTCTCTTTGCCTCCTCCGTCTCTTAGGGCTCTGGCTCAGAGCCCCGGGTTTAAGCCCATCTGCCTGCCTGCTCGGCCGCCCCGGTCCTCCCCACCCCCGCCTCCAGCCCAGTCCCCACCCCCCAGCCCTGGCCCTCGGCCTCCGCGACCAGCCGGGCTTTGTTTCCCGGAGCCTCGGCGCCCCGCCCCGCCCCGTCTGGGGTCTCCGCCGCCCTTTGTCTGCTTGCTTCGGTCTTTTTCCCCCAACACACACCCCATTCCTCCGGGTCCGTCTTTGGAGCCCTCTTTGTCCTGGGCCCGGGTGGCTGAGGCTAACCGGGCAGCACCCCCGGAGAGCCCACCCAGCCAGCGACGCCGATCCCTGGGATCCCTGGACGAGCCAGTTGCCGCCTAGGAGGCACACGGTTAATACCAGCGAGTCCGGGCCCCGGCCCTCGGCTTAGAGTAGCCCTCTCGGCCGCACGCAGCCGCCCCCCGCGGGCCACCGTGCTGCGGGCGACGCGGGCGGGCTCCTCCGAGGTCCTAGAGAGGCTCCCTCCGTGCGCCCTGCGCTTCCGCTTCCCGTCCCCGCCCCCGGCGGCCACCCCCGGGACGCCAGGGCTCCGAGCCCCCCTTCTCCCGATCTCCACTCGGGGTTGGGCGCGGAGCTTGCCTCCCCAGCACCGCGGGCGGCTGAGAAGCTCCGGACGGCGCCGAGGTGAGAGCGGGTAGGTCCGGCTGCGTGGCCAGGCCAAGCCGAGCAGCAGGTGCAGGGCTGCCCGAGTGGGGTGGGGTGGTCACCGGGAATCGCTCCTGGAGCCTGGGACATGGCACTGGCCGGCAGAGGGCAGCGGCAGGGCGTCATGGGCCGCGCACATGACTCTGTGTGACCGCTGGTTGCTGTGTCTTGTCCCCTCGCTCAGGGCGGTGTGCGGGCCATGGAACGCGCCATTGAGCCTTGGGACCCAGATCTCCAGGACCCCGAGGAAAGGGAGCAGCTGGGAGACTCCCGTGCAGGTGAGGGCCGCATGCATCACTTGGCTAGGGAATGGCGGGACAGGGTGTGGACTCTTTGGTGCTGGGCTCATGCCTGCTGGGCCCAGGGACTGCCAAAGGCATCTTCTTCAGGACTTGCTTCCCTCTCCCTGCAGCTGTCACCAGCCCAGGCCCTTCTCCCCGCTCATCCTAGCTTCTACAACAACCCTCCCTAGACCCTTTGTGATGAGCTCTGCAGGCAGATTGGTCTGAATCCAGATCTTATCCTGCCATCTCTAGAACCTGCTTTGCCTCTCCTGTGTCTGCTAATTAAAAGCCTTCCTGAGGTGCTTAGTCCCCAGGGGTTTGTGCTCTGGCTAGCCCCTGCGCCCTTTTCCAACTTCACAGCCTCTCTGCGTGGCTGTGAATGCCTGTGCCTGTAGCGCCCCCATCCTGTGACTTCTGAATCCCTCCCACCACCTGCACACATCCTGATGGGCGTCTGAGCTCTCTCAGCTGCCCACAAGGAGTGTACTAGATTACAGAGGGGCTAGAGGTCAGGGTGCTTCCAGAAGTTCAAGAGCAGGATGGAATGAAAAATAAAGTTTATTTGCATGCCAAAAGAACCAAATTTGAAGTTCATGCCTAGTGGTTTTATAATGTGCGTGTTGCATGAACTTTCGGAAGACCTTTTCTATAACAAGATACACTGGACCAGGCAAATGCCAGGGCTTTGCTAGGACAACCAGTGAGCTCTCAGGCAGAGCCCAGGAGAAACCTCACCTTGTAAGCTTTCAAAACAAAATGTTTATTTTTCTCTGAAAGGCAGCTTAGGAGATAAAGAGATCTTCTATCAAGCCCCAGCTGGAGTCAGCCCAAGGAAGGGTTGCTGGGCTAGGCCCAGGTTGCCACCCAGGTCTCCCACGTAGGTGGCAGAGGCTCAAGTCCTTGAGCCCTCATTTGCCATGGGAAACAGGATAGCCAGGGCCAGCATCAGGTAGGCTGCTCCAGGGAGCGGGCATCCCAGGTGTTGGTGTAAGGTGAGGAGCTGGACTGCTCACCCACCCCTTTAACCATTCATGGCCCTGATGAGCTAGTGGTTGAAATTCTTTAAGTCTCCATGCAAATTATTTGGAGATCACTACATCTCCTAGGATGACTCACTGATACTTGGGCTCAGTGATACATACCTGAAGTCTAGCATAGAAGGGGAGTTATACCTGCTGGGGGCAAGGCAGCCCGGGTTAGCATTCCCAGCCTCACCCTGTCCGGGGCCCTGGGCTCTCCCGCCTCCTTCTACCACAATCTTGGGACATACTTGGTAATGGCGCCATCACCAGGCACCTGGCACTTCCAGGGGAGCCCTGAATGGCAGTGCGGGCCCTGAGCAAAGGGCAGGGCCTCCACCTCCCTTTTGCTCCCTCAGGTCTGGAGAGTGACAGTGTGGAGATTTCTCAGCCAGATGAGTTCGAGCCCACTCCCCAGGAGGAGGAAGAGGATCTGGAGTTCAAGGAAGAGGAAGATCTTGGCCCGGGCCATGACATGGTGACCGTCTCTCTCAAACCCGAAGGCATCCAGACATGGGATGATCTATGGGTCCAGAGAGAGGGGCTGGGGAAACCGCAGGCCCGGGACCGAGGCCTCCGGATCCTAGGAGAGCCGCGCTGGGGCCAGGCCAGTGGGGACCGGGCAGCAGTGTGCGGCGAGTGCGGCAAGAGCTTCAGGCAGATGTCTGACCTGGTGAAGCATCAGCGCACCCACACTGGGGAAAAGCCCTACAAGTGCGGTGTGTGTGGCAAGGGCTTCGGTGACAGCTCAGCCCGTATCAAACACCAGCGGACTCACAGTGGGGAGAAGCCCTACCGAGCCCGGCCAGCGGCCCAGGGCCCCCCAAAGATTGCACGGCCCCGGATCCCGGCTGGCGAGCGCCCCACCATCTGTGGCGAATGTGGCAAGAGCTTCCGGCAGAGTTCGGACCTGGTGAAGCACCAGCGGACACACACAGGGGAGAAGCCCTACAAGTGCGGTGTGTGCGGCAAGGGCTTCGGTGACAGCTCTGCTCGCATCAAGCACCAGCGTACACACCGCGGGGAGCAGCCACCCCGGCCAGTGGTTCCCCGCCGACCACCATCTCAGGCAGCCACAGCAGCCGCGGCCGGATCCAAGGCCCAGGACAAGCCATATATCTGCACCGACTGTGGCAAAAGGTTCGTGCTCAGCTGCAGCCTCCTGAGCCACCAGCGCAGTCACCTAGGGCCCAAGCCCTTTGCCTGTGACGTGTGTGGGAAGGAGTTCGCCCGCGGCTCGGATCTGGTGAAGCACCTGCGTGTCCACACAGGCGAGAAGCCTTACCTCTGCCCCGAGTGCGGCAAGGGCTTCGCGGACAGCTCAGCCCGGGTCAAGCATCTGCGCACGCACAGCGGCGAGAGGCCCCACGCATGCCCGGAGTGTGACCGCACCTTCAGCCTCAGCTCCACCCTGCTCCGCCACCGCCTCACTCACATGGAACCCCAGGACTTTAGCTTCCCAGGGTACCCCTTGGCCGCCCTGATTCCCAGCCCCCCGGCCCCGCCCCCTCCACCCCTTGCCACCAGCCCCCCGCTGACGCCCCGAAGCCCATCCCACTCCGGGGACGGGCCTTTTGGCCTGCCGGGTCTGGAGCCAGAGCCAGGGGATCCACAGCCCGGTGAGCCACCCCCACCACTGGACTACGACAAGCCCCACAAGTGTCCTGAGTGCGGCAAGGGCTTTCGTCGCACCTCCGACCTAGTCAAACACCACCGCGTGCACACCGGGGAGAAGCCTTACCTCTGCCCCGAGTGCGGCAAGGGCTTCGCCGACAGCTCAGCCCGGGTCAAGCACCTGCGCACTCACCGTGGGGAGCGCGCCCGGCCACTCCCGACGCCGCCCACACTCCTGCGCCTGCACAACCCGCCTGGCCTCCTGGCACCTCCAGCTCCTCGATCCCGAGTTCGGGCCCAGACCTCGGGCCCCAGCCAGCCACACATCCACGTGTGCGGCTTCTGCGGCAAGGAGTTCCCCCGGAGCTCAGATCTGGTGAAACACAGGCGCACACACACGGGTGAGAAGCCTTACAAGTGTGCCGAGTGCGGCAAGGGCTTCGGCGACAGCTCCGCCCGGATCAAGCACCAACGCGGCCACCTGGTCTTGAGGCCCTTTGGGATCGCAGATGTGCGGGCAAGGCCCCTCAAGGAGGAGCCACCCATAGAACTGGAGTGATGGGGTCACCAAGGGAGGGAGGCCAGCTGGCCCAAGCAGCAAGGAGGGCCGGGGAGGTGGTGGGAGGGAGAAGACGGGGCAGACTGGGGAGAAAGGAGTGACTTAGATAGGCGTAGGCAATGGGCACTGTAATCTTTACGCTCAGGAACCCGCCCTGGCTGGGCTCAGTCAGGACTCCCATCCCCCCAAAATGAGCAGAGCCCCAGCTTCCAGAACATCGCCTAGCATACAGTAGGCGTTCAGCAAGCATCCGTTGACTCAACACCTCGGGAGCCCTAAATGCCCGCAGCCTCTCGCCTGCAAAGAACTCGCGTTTCCCTGTGTTGTCCTGGGAGACTAACACTCGAAGTAGGCTTCACGGGGTTCGGAGCTGTCACAGTGGAAATGACATGACAGGAGGCAGGGGCAGGTGGAGCATCCCAGCCAGGGAATTGCTGTGTGGCCGCAGTGCTCGTCCACCCCACCCAGGATTTGGTTTCAGCCAGGATGGACACTCTTGGGACAGCTCAGATGTTTTTGTGTGGCCTCAAGGACCTTCAAGTCCCCCTGACGTCTGGACTGTGACAGACAGGTCACAGCAGGGGCTAGTGTGTCTGGCATCCAGCATGGTGCCAAGCGTGGGTCTTAGTGGGCATGAGCCAGTTCCAGCTGGCTGGGAGAGGTCAGGACTGGGGTGAGGGGCCGTCCTTCCAGCTGGAGATGCTCTGGGGTCCAATTGCCATGTTTTCCTTGTCTCCTTGCCAATAAACTGCTTCTTGTCTGAAGCCTGTATTGTGTGTGTGTGTTCACAGAAATATGAATTTTAAGGTGGGTGTAGTTTTGAAATTTGTACACTTTTTGTAGCAGTACATTTTTATGAACTTTTCTGAGTTCACTTTTCCATTGAGTCTTTGAAGATCTTCACCCCATCTGTAGCAAGCCTTGCAAAGGGCATTAGAGGGGTCGCTCCAGGCAAAATCCTCAAGTCCTGGTGGACATTTAGCCCCATGGCCAGCAGGTTTGGCCACAGATGACCTAGGTCCAGGTCTAAGGCCTGGCCAAAGAATGGAGCAGGGCCATCAGCAAAACTGCACTCGGGGGATATGGCGGGTCCTGCGTGGACGCTGTGACCGTGGCGCTGGTCATTTGAGATAACCAGAAAACTGGGTCACTTGGCTGCAAGGCGAGGGCCACAAGGACGGCCGCAAAGAGGCTTCCAACTCTTTGCTTTTCCAAAGAACAGGGAGAAAAAGTGAAAGAGGGACTGGCCGGCCAAGGACAAAACAGACCAGAGTTTCAGCAAACAAGTACTTGCTGGCTTTGCAAGTTCACCCCTTGCCAGCATCTGTGCTACACTAGTTGTTCCCTAGTTGGAATTTCTCGCGAGATCTTAGCCCTCTGATTGACTTCTAAGGAAGCCAATCAGCTCGTTGGGGCACCACAAAGCCCTCCTGCCTCCGCCCCCTGGTCAGTTAGGCTCAGGGCAAGACTCCTTCCGCCCGCCAGGCACGCACGTAACCATGCGCCTGCGTGGACCTTCTGGGCTGCTGACGGATCCTTTCTGCCGGTTTGCTTGTTACCCATCCCTGACTAGTTTATACTTCAAGCTGACCTCAGTAAATTACACAGGACTATGGCACGCCACCCACATGAAAAGTGCTGTTCCGGCCGGCGCGGTAACCTAGTGGCTAAGCATCTAGCTTTGCACGCCGGGATCTTATATGGGCGTTGGTTCTAATCCCGGTGGCCGGCTTCCCATCCAGCTCCCTGCTTGTGGCCTGGGAAAGCAGTCGAGGATGGCCCAAAGCCCTAGTACCCTGCACCCACATGGGAGACCTGGAGGAGACTCCTGGCTCCTGGTTTCCGATTGACTCATCTCCGGCTGTTGTGGCCGCTTGGAGAGTGAATCAGTGGGCTGAAGAGATTTCTGTCCGTCTCCTTCTCTCTGTATATCTGACTTTCCAATAAAAATAAATACAATCTTTAAAAAGGTTTTAAAAAGGAAACTCTTCTCTAGAGGAAATAGATAAGGTCGAGTTGAAAAAAAAAATGACTTTTCCAAGAATATTGTACATTTTAGAGTATGTATTTCTTTAAAAGGCAGAGGGACAGCGAGATCTTTTCCAGAATGCCAGCAGCCTCGGGCTGAGGCAGGGTGGAAGCCAGGAGCTGGGACACCCTTCAGGTTCTCCCTTGGGAGTGGCAGGGATACCGGTGTCTCCTGGCACCACCTTCTGCTGTCTGCCAAGGTCCACATTAGCAGGCAGGTGGACCTGCAGCGGAGGTGTGAATCCATCACAGGTGCTCCTATCACGGCATGCAGGTGTCCCAAACAGTGGATTAGCTAGCTGTGCCCTGGCACCGTCCCCAGAGAGATTTTTTTTTTTTAAGATTTATTTATTTTTATTGGAAAGTCAGATATGCAGAGAAGAGCAGAGACAAGAAGATTTTCCGTCTGATGATTCACTCCCCATGTGACCACAACGGCAGAGCCTTGCTGATCTGAAGCCAGGAGCTAGGAACTTCTTCCAGGTCTCCCATGTGGGTGAAGTATTCCAAGGCCTTTGGCCATCCTCGACTGCTTTCCCAGGCCACAAGCAGGGAGCTGGATTAAAACCGGTGCCCACTAGGCCACCACACTGGGCCCCTCTATGCCCTCTCTGTAAAGCATAACTGCTCAGTTAGCCTTTAATGCCCTTCGATCTGTCCCTGGTAAACATCGTTTTCTTTACTCAGGCTGCTCCCCACATCCTGGCACCCACGTTAACCTCTTCTGTGAAATCAGCTGTGTCCAGGTGTCCCAAAAGAAGGCAAAAGGAACTTGCGATCCTGCTCTGTTTCCAGGCGGGAGACAGATATGGAATAAACGGTGTGGAAAGGGCCATTCTGGCAGCAGACAAGCGGGGGGGGGGCCTCCTGTGGCCCCCCAGGCCTTTGATCAGAGGTGGCGATGGTGTCCATCCGCAAGGCTGGGAAGCAGGTGGCAGGGAGCGGGTGGGAGATGGAACCCTTTCTTCTGGTAGAGAAAGCTGTCCAAATGCTTGGGGGTTAGAGAACTGAAGCAAAGGGTGAACTGTTGTGGTCTATGGGATGCAGCTGCCACCTGGGGGCATGCACATGGCATACGCAGTGCCTGGTTGAAGGTCCATCTACTCCGCACTTGCCATTCAGCTCCCTGCTAATGTGTGTGGGGGAGGCAACTGATGATGGACAAAGTACGAGGGCTCCTGCCACCCATGGGGGAGACCCAGATGGAGCTCCAGGCTCCCAGCTTTAGCCTGGTCCAGTCCTGCTGGTGGGGCCTTTTACACAGTGAACCAGCAGAAAGAAGATCTCTCTCTCTTCCTGTCTGTCTCTGTAACTCCACTTTTTAAAGGATTAAATAAGTATTTTTTTAAAAGATTTATTTATTTATTTTTATTATTGCAAAGTCAGATATACGGAGAGGAGAGACAGAGAGGAAGATCTTCCATGTGATGATTCACTCCCCAAGAGACCACAGCGGCCAGTGCTGTGCTGAAATCTGAAATCTGTCTTTCCAACAACCAAGAGATCTCTTCTATCTACTGAGTCTTTTCCCAAATGACCACAATGGCTGGGGCTGGGCCAGGCTGAAATCAGGAGCCAAGAGCTTCTCCTGCGTCTCCCACTTGGGCGCAGGGCCCCAAGCACTTGGGCCATCCTCTGCTGCTTTCTCAGTTGCATTAGCAGGAAGCTGGATGGGAAGTGGAACAACTGGATCTGGTGCCTATAAGGGATGCTAGCTGTCACAGGCATTATTCACTATACCACAATGTCACCCCCTTTCTTGGAGTGTGTTGGACCAACACAGTCTGCTCAGTATGTACCCTGGTGAATTCTTTCGCCACCCATGACCTTTTCTTAGTGGGCCGAATTCCAAGTACTGTTTCTCCAGAGATTCCCTCTCTTGGTGTGAAGCAAGACCTTAAACCACAGGCGCTGCATGCAGGGTCCTCCTCCTCCTTTCCCTCAGTGCCCCATCATTCGCGGATGTTCCCTTTTCTCATAATTACCTCTCACTTAATGTAATAACTCATTAGTAATATTTTAAGTTCAAATATGTGACTAAAGAGGGAAAGCTTAAATGCAGAAAAATTTGGTTACAAGACTGGTTAGCTGAGAGCAGTTTCCATTAAAATAAACAAATTGGTGCAGCAACATGACACATAGACTAAGTTTCTGCCTTCAGTGCCGGCATCCAATGTAGTTGCCAGTTCAAGTCCCTGCTGCTCCACTTCCCTCCAGCTCCCTGCTTGTGGTCAGGGAAAGCGGTGGAGGATGGTCCAAAGCCATCCTCCTGAGAGAGGAGTTAGAGTGGGTAGTAGGCAGTTAGGGTATTCTGGGTCCCTGAGTAAAAGAGAATTTCCCACCATGTCTTGAACTCACCAGGGCACGTCTCTTCCAAGGGACAGTGGTGCTATTAGCATATCAATTCCCCACCTGAAGTATCGGCCATTACCTTGGCTATTGTGGGAGGGCCTCAGGCTGATCTCTTTATCATTGAAAGGAGTAATACACATCTGCCTAAGGCCTGGAATGTCCTATGTCTGGTATCTCTGTGACCTTTTGTCCCAAGGCCAGGTACCTTGGAAATCAGGAACTTTCTTTGTTTAAGGAGAAACATCTTTGAGGGAAACCTTTAAAAGGTGCATTCCCCACCATTCACTGGGGTTTTGGCTTCTTGTCCTCCTGCCACTATGGCAGAGCACTAGGGTTTTGCTTATTCTTCTCCTGCCACTATGGCAGAGGACTAGGGTTTTGCTTCTTATTTTCCTGCCACTATGGCAGAGCACTGAGGTCCTTTTCCTCCTGCCACTATGGCAGGAGGTAAGGGTTCTTTCTATCTCAAAGCCCCCTCCCGTCACTAGGACGGGAGTCTTCTCTTCTCAACTTTCCTAATAAATCTTGTGTTAAAACTAAACTGTGTCCGCATGAAAATTCTTCTTTCCTGCGAGACAAGAATTTGAGGTTGCTGCCATACTCGGAGTCAAAATTCCTGCAACAGTTTTGGTGCCGTGTGACTCGGATTCTACCAGCGAGACTTGAGTTCATCTCCAGCCAGCCTCCAGACATCCATCTCGTCGGACGGTGAGCAAAGCGGACTCTATCCTGTTTTTCGGAGACACTAGCTCTCCACAATTAGTAACTCTCGAAAAAAGAAACACCGGGTCCCTGTCAGCCAGTTAAATGCGGTTAGCGCGGCTGCCGGTCTTAAGACTCAGGGGCGAGGCTTGCTGAGTTTGGCTAAATTGATCCCCTGGAGCTGGGGTCCTTGGCTCCAGGAATGTCGGTTTTGTCCAGACTCGGTTTCCTTTCGCGGACTAAGCCCGTCGCGTGAGACTGGGAGAAGTCTTAGGGCGCCTCAGAAATTCTGGTCAGGGCCACTCCCTGATGCTTTTCGAAAGGCCTCTGGACTGTACCCCAGACTCTGACAGCCCGTCAGGGTGTCGGGCTGAAATCTGCACTCTTTCCTTCCTTCTGCGGGGACTCAGTTGTCACCACGGCGAGGCCACGAGCCCTGGGCTGCGTGCCTCAATTCCCAAATGGCCTCAGGCACAGACGAGTCCTCCGTTACCTTTTCTGATATCTTCTCCAAAGGCTTTTTCTCACTAAGTCTCCTCATTCTCTATGGATTCAGTTTTTGGGTTTTCTTTTACTGGTCAGCATGTGCTAAATACCAGCTGGTCTGTGATGGGGAAAAGGAAAAGGCAGGCAGAGTTTCTTTCTAGGCCCCTCTAAAGATGAGATCTAAGATAAACTTAAC